ACAAGTCAAAAGATCAGCTGAAAGTGAGGGGGTGGAGTGGGGGGTGGGAAGGCAGCGTCCTCTCTCCGGCTGACTCATACATTTCCGCGGACACGATTGCACGCAGGCAGATAGCGGAGCACGCTGGAAACACATGCGGGGGAACGCTGCGCTGCCTGGCTGTGCACATTTCCTCTCATAACTGCAGGCGGAGCCTCGACCGGCAGAGTGAAGCAACTAACGCGGGGGTGGCGCCGGCTTTTCAGGTTAAGGAAGTCGTGACATGCCCCTCCAGCGGGAACCATTAATCAGTTGACTCAACATCCCCGGCTCTTAGGGTCGAGAAGTGGAGCGCGCGCACACGCACACCTACGGACAGGCAAGAGCACCGGCCGCTTCAGCTCACACACACACACACACACACACACACACACACACACACACACACAAACAAACAGCGGGAGCGCACACTCCGTTATGTAAACGGCTGTGGCACTTTTCGCCTCGGGCCTCACATGCCACTCCTCCCACTGTGCAGTCGGGTGTATGTGTTTGTGTGTCTGTGGCGTGAACATTGTGTAATCAAGGAATTCTAAATGTGTCTTCGGAATAGCATATCTGGCTCCAATGCGATTTGACTGCATTTCTTTAAAAAAAACATGAATTTTTTCGACTTCTCCTGCCACTTAATGGGTGACTTTGTTCTCACCCACTGTGGGTGGAACCAACTGCTTCTTTTTGGCGTTTTGTATTATATCAACTAGCCTGTGGCAGCCTGCCAACGTCTATTTTGCTCTCCCACAAATTCATAACGACCAATAATACTTTCCCACTTCTCGACAGGTGGGCTGGCTGGCCGCGTCCGGTGCATTTCCTCCTCAGCGGTGTGCAGCGTCTGGCTCTAGTTTGGCTTCGAAAGTGGCTCCGGCCTCCGTGTCCGCTTTACAGCCGCCCAGTCCGCGCTACTACGGGCCGGTGACTTTTGTTCTAGCCACGAGGTCTCTTCCAGGGGAGCGACGGGGCCCCTGTTTCCCAGTACGAGTGTCAAACGGGTGGACTGTCCTTAGTGTTGTCGACCAACCCAACCAATCTTTAAACACATCCCGTTTACCGATGCTCCGTGTGTGGCTTCACCATTCAAACCTGTACAACCAATGTGTGAATGACTCTACCACCTACTTTGAAAGGCCAAATTGAACTTAAGTAATGGCATAAAAGTATTAGTTAAAAAAATATACCACTGTTGGTTGAATGGCCCCTTTCAAAGATTACAAATCAATAATAAATTACTACTGTACTTGGATTATAAATATTGATGGATTTTATCTGTTTATCACTTTAATAATGCGACTTGTAAAGGTGGAACTACTTTCAACTAATTTGGAAACCTAATAATTAGGATAAATACTACTTCATAATACGAGTTTATTACTTGATATATATTTTGTATTAACAATCTCAACAAGCAAAGAAGCCTAAATAGTAATCTAATATGCTGAATCAATTGTAGTAAAGCTAAAAGTATAATATTAAGAACAGTATACTTGAGTAACCTATATGTTCTTAGTAACATTCCACCCGTGCTAGAACAAGTGCAAAGTTGCTTAATTCTGATGGATTAAACTTTAAAAAGTTTAAATTTATCTTCAGGGTAGAATGCCCGGATTAATATGAAGGCAACGCAATGTTGAAATCCGAGAGCGCCACTCAGGTCCACGCGGGCGCTAATCAAACATTCACGAGCAAAGGTTCTTCTCTTCTTTGCTCTGAGGTCTGAGGTCCGCCCATCACAGTCCCTTAACAATGCTGTTAGAAACCACATTGTTCCATCTTTGCCGTAATCTCATTCGACAGTAGGCTGCAACAATGCAGGGTGCCTTAAAATGAATTCGCTGAATTCATTGTCTGTTAGACAATAAACTGAAAAAGGAAAAATTGCCTTGAAAGACTGCAAAGAACTTCTTACATTTTTCCCACTTGAATGGAATGACATCAGCAGCAGAAACAGCAAGCCTTTTGTTCTCTGTGGAAAATGAAAAGCCCTCCTGCAATGAATAGATGCTGAAGTGTAATCATCAATCAGGTTGCTTTACTCATCATTTACAGCCATGACTCATAGAATATAAAACAAGGGAGAGGACGGAGGAATGTGAAACTTGCACCTTTTCTAATCAGTATATGAGGACGGACTGACCCTTATACTTGCTATTCAGAGGCTTGTACAGGAAGCACTTTTCCCTTTTGCTGCATCATGGTACAAACTGAACTAATAAACCTTTACATTTGGAAGAAAGATATTTGTATTCAAAAGATTCATTGAAACCCAGACCGGACATATTATAAAACATATAAAGGCTATATGATATACACTAAATGTCCACAATTTTCTCTGATTAGATGGAAAAATGTCAATCCATGCAATCCCTTTAATCCCAATATTGCTTACGTACTGTCTGGTCCTCTCCTAATCTGTGCTGAAGAAAGAGATTACTCAGCTAAAGATACTAAACTAAGGTATCCACTTCCAAGAGGTTTTTACACACAAATGGCTCTGTATGTGTCTGAAAACATGGAATATGATCTTAAAACTGAGATTTCACAAGTTAACATCCGTAGCAGTGGTATTCAATTACCAAGATTGATGTGGAAATAAAAAATCTGAGAAACTTAATTGGCACAGCAGTGTGTGTAAGTGCATCTGTTAAGTGAGCTCCAAGCCCACGGCGGCTCAAAGTAAATCGTGTGTCGAAACTTGAAACGTTGCGGCCGTCCGTGTAAGACAAACTAAAAACGTCAGGCGGCCCGATTTATTTCTGCCTCTTTGAATTAATTGGAAACGCTTTTCTTAGAAACTATCTGTTACACATCTTTTGAATTTTACAAGTTGAGGCCGCTACAACCTATTTCACCGGCGGGGTTGACTAACCGTTTTATAGCTGACATGAATTTGTCTGGTGGTAAATTAAAACCTCACTCCTGACAACCGTGAATAGAAAAGTTTCTGTTGTTCTGGCTTGTTTGGAGTTTTGTTTATGAGCAGCAGAGAGTGATGCAAGCATCTCGCATCACACGAGCGGACCGGGCCTTACTTTGCTTCACGCTGCGGCTCCTCTCTCTCTCTCTCTCTCTTCTTGTTGTTTGGCCAACTAGATTCTGAGTGTGCAGTTCTGCCTCACCGCGATGCTGTCAGAAAGCAGGATGCAGCAATTACTCTACATCCACATCAGTATGCACTGGTGGGCATGCATCTGGCCTTGCACGGTGAGGGAGTGTTAAAGAGCAGCTCCCGACCCTCATTACATCATTTAGGTGCCCTTGGGCAAGGCGCTTGACCCCCAACTTCACCGCTGGGGCTGAACTGGGCAGCAGCCGAGTGTGAAGGTGTGTATTCGGAGGAAGGCTGTAAAATGAGCATTCACGCTCTGTATTTCCTGACTGGGTAAAGACAATCACCACTGTTGTGCCACAATTCATAAACAAGTGAAACATAATATTTGGGTATTCCCATAATTATACTTTTTCCACAGATTATTACTATGTCTGATGGGTGAGCAGCATTATTAATAGTACATTTCTTACTCACAAACATCGGCATGGCCTTTCTGAGCGACTTCCACCCAATTGATTGAATTGTGTAACCTCTACGAATAATACCTGTCCTCCTACCAAAGTGTCAGCATGTTTGAATGAAATGCATTATTAAGTGCTTTTGATAACACTCGTCCGTGGAATGAATCCACGGCTGAGTGTGAATATTAAAAGAACGTCAGAGCGAAAGAAATTCCACTGACAGCTCTATTTAAAAACAACACCCCCGCCGGCTCAGTCAAAACAGCAGACAAAAAGTTCCAATCAATAGATGGGATGCATAAAAGCAGCGACGCTTCAGGGTTCAAAGACAGGAGCAACCAGAAACAAGGCGAAGAAAAACTCAGGGCCGACAATTGCTGCCAGCATAGTTTAGTTTCAATAAGAGCGGAAGAGTGGACGCTGAAAAAAAGCCCAGAATGAATCCAGTCAGTTCAAAATTCAAGTAGTAGTGCTGCTACTTGAAAACCCCTTGGATTTATTTTTTTTCTTCAAAGCTTCCTCCACCTGAGTGAGGCGATAAATCTCGAGTTTTTGTGCTCGGCTGAGGCATTCACTGGGCCAGAGGTCAAAACAATGAGACGGATGAAAACAAGAGGTTGTCTGGGGGCCCATTAAAAGAAAATTGCCAGTGAGGGACAGAGACGTGTCCTGCCTTTGTGGGAGCAATGATGTGTGTGTGTGTGTGTGTGTGTGTGTGTGTGTGTGTGTGTGTGTGTGTGTGTGTGTGTGTTAGAGTACAGTTTCATGTTCAGGAGGCTGCGAGGTGGCTGCATGTTGTATATGATATGACTGTGTCCCTTTCATCAACGTATAAAATACTGATATCCGGAAGTCAGATCCAGAAACCTCCATTTGAGGTCTGACTGTCCATCATAGGTGGGGTTTTTCTACAGCATTCCTTTTCTTTGGCACTAAAGTCCGTTCCGGAGAGTCAAAAACAGCTGCCACGTGTTTTTTAGTTTTCTACACATTGTTTATCATGTCTCCTCTCGTTCTGCACATTCTCCGGTCACCGCTGTGACGTCGCTGTGTGGAGAATGCGGTCCGGCGGAATTCTCTTGCCATTGTTGTCCCTTCCTGGAAATCCCGGCGAGTGGCTGTCTCCACGTGCGCAAAGTTCAGCGGGAGAAAAACACTTCTTTTTAAGAAACTCCTCCCTCTTCATTAGACTTGTGAGGCGTGTTTAGAAATCGCTTACGGTCTGGTGTCATTTCTGGGGGGGCAAAATGTTTTGACATTCGTGTCACACAGCTCCTTTCTTTGCTCTGCTGCAGCTGCCATGTAAATCTCAGCCTGTTCATTAGTAAACATATGGCCAAACCCCACGGCCGTCTAATTAATGCTCCTCTGGGATACACAATATCAACTCACAGCCGAGACACAACGCCGTGACCGGAGGTGTGAAAGGGGAAGAAAAAATGAAAACCTACCTGCCATCATCTTCTGCGCCTCATAAGGCTCCATGTAGCCGTCGTTCTCGGTCGACGCTTTTTCTGTGCTGGTCTGAGTTCCGCCAGTCTGCTCGGCGTCGAAAGGGTCCGCGTAGTCCTCGAGGATGTTGGGCTGCAAAATGAAATAAAAAGCACGGAAAAGGTGAGACGGAGGGAGGGGAAAGAAAAGGTGGAGAAGGTAACTCCTTTTGCTCCTCTGTTGAACAACACAACCAGGGTAGGTGTCGGAGTGTTTGGTGTCGGGTACTGCTGAGGCACAGGGATAGTAGGCCAGGACATAAAGGGGAGAACGCACACATACATACCCCCCCCCCCCCCCGGAGTCCCCATGCGCACACACACACACACACACACTGCGTATCCCTCAGCCCACAATGCCTCAGCTTTTAGCTCCACAGCACGCTCTGTGCTGGTCTGCCTAATTACATGACGAAAGAAGAAGAAGAGGGAGAAGAAGAGGAAAGCAGACCACAACTGCTCTCCTTTCTGAGGAGAAACAATTCGGTAGGTTTATGCCGAGATGGCATCGAGCCACGGCTAATTGCAACCTTGCTCTTTTGCTGAGCATTTTGCGCAGTAGATGGCAATTAGGCGAACGTCCCGGGACTCATAAATACAACTCAAACCTGGAAGGGAGCGCAGCAGCCCATCTATCGCGGCCTCGGGGGGGTATTTGTTCCCTCGAAATGTTTGCTGCGTCTACCAGAAGGCCGCTTCAGAAGTAGAGATCTACCCTTTGAGAGGAAAGAGGAGACCATATGCGCCGTCCGTCCTCGTGGACGTTGGGTAATGAGGGAGCGGGCTCTGTCTATAGTCCAGCCAATCACTGCTTGTAAGGGAAGGGAAGGCTTGTGCACACACCTCAGCGAGCATGTAAACACGTACACCCTATGAGTCATGTGCAAAGAGGAAGGGATTCTGGTCTCATTATGAAACAAGCTCGTCACTCATCTGGCGGACGGGGTCGGGCGGGGCGCACAGGAGGTGGACCGAGCCCTCGTGCCCGCTGTCCATCTCTGCCATAGCGGGAGCTTCCCAAATGGATTTGCTTGCCACAAAGTTAAAGAAAAAAAAACCTGTGGCCAGGCCACCCGGGAGAGTGCCACACACACACACACACACACACACACAAATGGACACACACACACGCACACCTTCCACCCTTCAGGGAAGCAAGTAAAATGTACAGATATCCCTCTGCTCCTATGGGATTTCTCTGGGAATGCAGAGAGATTTTTACTGATCATTTAATGCACTTCAAAAAAAGAAAATAAGCATATGTTGTAAGTCGCTCAGCAGAATTGGTATATCTCTGCACATCTCCACTTTACATGGATTAGTACTAATCGCAAATGGAGTAAGTACCACGCATGTTTTTCTCTGCGGCTACATTGTCTTGAATCCACCGTCTCCACTATTCCCTCTCCATCTGTTTTTAGGACGCTTTTTCTGCCATTGCGTAATTGTGGGTTCCTCAAATGTTTTGCTTCTGTGAATTCAAACAGTGGGCGAAAAATCAAATGCAAACATTTTCCTGCCTGGTTTTGGTGCCAGCAAAATATTGTTAATTCACTGTAGTTTTAATTGATATTCAGCCGTCTAGATTAGCAGCATCTTTGCTGCGCGGGAGCGTGTTATGCCATGAGTCATCATTAGCATCTCACACCTTGTTCCATACAAACTGAGCTATCCGCCATCGTGGCGCGTGCCAAACCCTCTTCAGATACAGTCACTGCAAACACGGCCCAGACCTGAGAATAAGTAGGCTTTACTAAAAAAAACACACATGAATCATCCAAATGGGAGGGAAGCAGGCCAGTGACTGCGGCCCACATACTGTGGCGCGGCGGCTCGAGGTTTGAGACCGTAGCCCACAGATGTGATAAAACACTCCAAATGCTGCATCTGAGATTCCCTCCAGCAGCTTCTAGCTGAGACGTTCGCCCACATCGAGCTTAAGCAGTTTCGGTTTTGAGGAAGGGCTCAGACCTTAGGCCTCTGCCGCCTTCAAGCACCTTCACTAGCATGTCGATGTTTGGACACGTCGCAGGGTAGAATGGCAGTCACTTAGAGCCACTCCAAAAGCATTACATCAGATTTTTTCCTTTCCTGTTGACATAATGTGGGACGAATAAAGGGCAGGGCGTGTGATGAAATGTTATGCAATCAGGGCCTAGGCCTAGGGATCAAGGCCCAAACCAAATGCAACAGCTTTGCTATGTACAAGTGGTTTATATTCACTTCACATACCCACTTCCCTTGAACTTGCATTTTTGTGCCTTTTTGCCATCCGAAACAATCAGAATCAGGCTGAAACAAAGTCTAACTGGGCGGCTGTCGCTCTCAAAGCCAAACAGGAATCTGCAATCAGTCACAAGTGGGTCTCGGCGGCTCTTTGGACATAGAATTTGCAGAGGCTGAGTCAGTGTTTGGAATAAGCTATTAGCATTATTTTAAAGTCTTAAAACATCAAATGCAATTCTGAAGTAATCGACAATCAAGACATCTCGCTTCAAATCCAGTTGGTCCTTGTTACGTGTCAAGCGGTGGCAAGAATGAATGGAATGGAAGGATCCCCCCCCCCCTCACTTCAGGTGATTTGCCTCCATGTGTGCAGGCCTTGCATGCAGACTTGTACAAACATTAGGATACATTGTTCGGCGGCCCCTCTGTATTTGTTTTGGCACCAAAGCCCTTGGTGAAGCATGTACAGCCATTTAGTTTATTTTCAGAGGTAGTTTGGTTGTATTGATCTCTATTTGTCCGGCACAACCTCATGTTTTTTTTTTAAGTGAGAATCTGAGTTGAAATGAATATAGTTGAATTGTTTCACTGTTTACCGTTGACTATTTTGAATGATTTGGTTGTCATGTGAACACACTACTTTTCCCCACACAGCCTGATTTAAGGGAAACATAAGCAGCTGTTAGCATATCTTAATTATGGCCGTTCTATCCAGGATAAGGTTGTAAAAGGCTTGTCATCAAACAGCTAAAAGGAAAAAAAGGGGTTTACATTTTACAGGCATATGTTTATTTAGCTCAGCGTTGGCCTGTAAAAAGCTCTTTTCGGCACCTGGCTCGTGTTCTTATTCTGTCAGCAGGGAGAAAGCTGAAGCGGATGACGAACCAGTTACCAGCCTGTCCAACAAAATGAAACAAAAAGAAGTGGCTTGTGCTGCTTCATGCGTGTTCACTTTCATTCACAGTTATGTTATGTTGCACAACAGCTGAGTAACAGGACTTGTTTGTGTGCAAGGTACCCTTTTATAACGGGGGGAAATTTCACCGCTGTGTGGTCATCGTCGGCTCCACCCTGTGTGTCACATGCATACCTTTACAGAGCTGTAATGAGTGCAACCACAACACTCTATTGTCACCCGTTGGCTGGCAGCAGCGTAATTGCGTTGAGCTTACACAGATCCTTCCTCAGCATCCGGGGATTTGAACCCATCAACCATCTAGTCTCCGTGAGGCCCCCGCAAGCCCACTTCATGTTTGGGCGGGGGTGGTTAATATTTCTAAATCGCTGCAATGTGTCCTTCCTGTCCCTCTGTACTAATGACTCCACGACAGAAGGAGGGGTGCTAGAGAGCGGCGGCGGCGGCGCCGCCTGGGGACCCACCATCTGCCTTGTGGCATACCAGGGCGTGTCGAGACTGCAGCCAAGCCACACTTGTCATGAGGGCAAAAATGTCCCCCTCAGTGCGAGACGGCAGCGGCTCAATACATCAGCCCTTTGCTAAACTGCGCTGTAAGCCCATATGAAGCTCTCAAAGCCAGCTCAGAGGCTTAGGCCATGTTCCCATGGTGGCTGGGTCCTTTACCGGTGTGCAGCGTGGAGAAACGGAGAGAGAGAAAACAATCTAAATTACTTTCTTCCCGCAGCTCAGAGAGCAGGTTGGCCGCGTGTCGCACACCTGACGGAGCTCTGGCAGCTCGCGGCGTAAGAGAGCGGGCTTCTTGCGATGCACTGCGGCTTTCGGGCGGCGAGGGCTGACATCGAATCAGCGGGAAACAGAGGGGACACATTAGCTAGAGCGGGAGACTTTTGACGGCCACCTGCCTCTTTGGCTCGACGTGGCGGTCGGCGACGCTGGGCCTCGAAGGATTGCGTTTCGATTGGGCTTCAGACTTCCATTAGGGAGAGAGAAAGTACCTGCTGCAGTCCCGATGGAGAGAAAATGGGTTTGGGCTGGCTCGCCAGGTAATCTGCAGCAAAATAATTAAAAACTCAGAAACTGGGACGGATGGAATTTGGTGTACATTCTGTAGTAATGACTATAATAATTTGAAGATTGGCTTTCTCTTTATCTGCATTTTGGTGTGTCCAGTATTGGCACTTTAGAACCAATAATAATGCAATGTCACACCCAGATAAACGCCTTCAGGCATGTGCACCTGGAGGAAAATGAGCACTAATCCAACTCTGGCTGGATGAGTGCAGACGGGAATATGATATTAATGTCATGGCTTGTCCAGGAAGGATTGAGTGGATCTCACGCTAGTCAAGGTTGAAGCCCCCCTGGGACGGCCAGAAAAGTCAACGGGCTGTAGAATGAGAGGGGGGGGGGTGGGGGGTCTGACGTGTGTGATTTATGTCTCACGCCACGAGGGATTTCAGCCACTGATAACCTAATACAACTCAGTGCATAGCGGCTCGATAGCATTAAGGCATTTCTTTCCCTTTTTTTTTGCTGCTATCGCTTTTTTGTTTTTCAGTAAGACAAAAAAAAAAAGCGTGCCACTATTGGGAGGACAGAAAGCCACTTCCAAGAAAAGGGTAGAGGGATAGAAGACAACATATACAGGAGGGACATTGTTTTATCTCTGAGCTGCCATGCAAAAAGTATGTTCTTTTGGATGGAAAACTGTTCAAATGTTCACGTAAAAAGAACCAGAAAACAACTGAGCGAGCCGAGCATCGCCGCAGTGCCTCTGCCGATAGCTCTTCCCCTTTATCTTTTTTCTGTAAACACAGGGCGACTGCTGTGTGTGTGTGCAGAGTGCCGTCATCCTGAGATAACTTGGCAACACATTTCTAGAAAGAACATAGCGGCAAGAAACACCCCCTCAAGGCTATTTATTAAAGCAGGCATGATCACGGCTTCTC